GAGTTCCTGACAGCCACGGCTGTTACATAGAGAAATCTGAGGTCTTTTCTAACCTCTGTGAGCATCAGGCACATATGTGGTCCACATACAGAAATATAGGCAAGCCGGGCGTTGGTGGCGCACGCCTTTAATCCCAGCACTCGGGAGGCAGAGGCAGGCGGATCTCTGTAAATTCGAGACCAGCCTGGACTACCAAGAGAGTTCCAGGACAGCCTCCAAAGCCACAGAGAAACCCTGTCTCGAAAAACCAAAAAAAAAAAAAAAAAAAAAGAAATATAGGCAAGGTGCCTATACACATCCAAATAAATAACAAGTCAAGTGTGTGTCTGATTTCAGCAGAATGGACTGGATGCTTTTAAAGGATGGCAAAGGTGGGCCAGGTAAGGTGCTGCACACTTTAATTCCAGCACTCGGGAGGCAGAGGCAGGCGGATCTCTGTGAGTTCAAGGCCAGCCTGATCTACATGGTGAGTTCCAGGGTAGCAAGAACTACATAGTGATTCCCTGCCTTAAAAACAAATGAGCTGGGCAGTGTGGTCCACGTTTTTAATTCCAGCACTCGGGAGGCAGAGGCAGGCTGGTCTATAGTTTGAGTTCCTGACAGCCAGGGCTGTTATATAGAGAAACCCTGTCTCAAAAAACCATAACCAACAAACAAAAAGTAAATGAACAAACAAGAATGCAGTCAGACATCCTTGGGTGTTCTGCCCATAATCTCTGCAAAAATTTTAGAAATGAAGTATCCATTGCAGATGAAGACAGCGAGGCACAAGCTAGTCGACCTATCTATGAAGACAGCGAGGCACAAGCTAGTCGACCTATCTAGTCACAATGGGAAGTGGTGGAGATAGGGTAGGATAGAGCATCACTTATTGATTTCCTCTTCCAATGCGCTTCCTTGCAACTGTCTATATCCCTCTACCGTAATTACCCCCACTTCGCGCCTGTGCCTACTTCTTGACATGCAAAATTCTTGGCATACTTTTGCTAGAAGAACCACTGATACTTTCCAGTTAAAAAAGTTTCTTTTGGGTTAGAGAGATGGATCAGCAATAAAGAGCACTTACAGAGGCCCTAAATTCTGTCCCCAGTGCCCATGTCGGGTGGCTCCAAACCAGTCCCAGGAGCATCGGGTACCTCTGACACCTGCAAGCAAGCACGCACCCATGTGCACACACACACACACACGCACACACACGCACACGCACACACACATCAAAAAGTACACATAAGTTAACATATAAATAAGAATACATCTATTTACTCATCTGTGTGTGAGTGTATCCATGACCTGGGCTAGATGCCAATCCGCACACAGGCGTGCACACCACAATGGGAAGGAGAGGCCACATGACAACTTGCAGGGTTGACTTTCTTCTTCCACCGTGTGATGCCAGGAGTCAAACTCAGGTTGTCAGGCTTGGTGGCAAATGCCTTTTCTACTGACTCAGTTTAAAAAACAACTATTTTGTGCAGAGACCAGAGAAAGGCATCCAATGTTTATTACTTGCCTGTTTTTTTCTTTCCAAGACAGGGTTTCTCTGTGCAGCCCTGGTTCTCTTGGAACTCACTCTGTAGACCAGGCAGGCCTCCAGCTCAGAGACCCACCTGCCTCTGCCTCTTGTTTCTGACAGGGGGTGTCCTTCTGTATGCTGTGTATACATGTTTCTCTTATTGGTTGGTGAATAAACGATGACTAGGAATGCTGGGAAAAGGATACCGGAGAGAGAGTCTCCAGAGAGATGCCATGTAGCTGCAAAAGGAGTAACATGCTGCACATTGTGGGCAAGTCACAGCCTCGTGGAAATGGGTTAATCAGAGAGAGCTAGCCAATAAGAAGCCTGAGCCATTGGCCAAACAGTTTGTAGTTAATAGAAGCCTCAGTGTGTTTATTTGGGACTAAACGGCTTCGGGACCAGGCAGGACAGAAACTCCGACTACAGTTTGAGACAGGGTCTCTCACTGAGCTTGAAGCTGGCTAGTGAGGTCCCAGGATCCACCTGTTTCTGTTCTCCAACACTCAGGTTACAAGGCACACGTGGCTGGTGTTTACATGGGTGCTGGGGACTTGAACTTTGGTCTTCATGCTTTCACCTCAGTCTGGTTTCTAGTTCTTACTGTTCACACAATGTTACTAAAGAGCCTCCACAAGGGACAGCTGCCTTGCTGTCTACAGGCTGCCACCTGATAGAGCTCTTGTCATCCATGCCCTGAGCCTTCTCATGAGACTGAGGTGGGTATGAGTGCTGAGAGCAAAACCACACAACCAAGGGATGTCCTTGACCCTCTGGCTTCAAAATGACTACAGCCCTAGTTTTAACCCCCTCAAAGTTTCCTTCACCCCTTGTTTACTCAGCTACAATCACTCTAGGAATACTCGCTAGCCATCAGTGGCCCTTCCCCATTCTGTTTACCCTTAAATCTCCCAGACATTAAAAAAAATTGATTTAAATATTTGTGTGGGGCTGGAGAGATGGCTCAGGGGTTAGGGGCGCTGACTGCTCTTCCAGAGGTCCTGAGTTCAATTCCCAGCAACCACATGGTGGCTCATAACCATCTATAATGAGATCTGACCTTTCTGACCGGCAGACATATATGCAAGGAGAATGCTATATACATAATATAAATAAATATTTGTGTGTGTGTGCGCTGGACATGGGGGTGCATTTAAGTCCCGCATTCAGGAAACCAAGGCAGGTGGATCTCTGTGAGTTTGAGACCAGCCTGACCTACACTGGGAGTAAATATATGGAGAAACTACCTCATAACAGCCCCCCCTCCAAAAAAAATCCTAAATATTTGTGTGCACATGTACACATGCTACGATGCCCACGTGGCGAATAGAGGACTTGGGGAGTAGTCTTCTTCTACCATGTGGGTTTGGGGTATTCTAATTCAGGTCATTAGGCTTGGCAGCAAGTGCAGAAACACTCACTAGCCTCTCCCAGATTTCCTGAGTCAGCAGAGGACTGGCTCAGGGCCACTGTGCCCCCCCAGAAGGGCTGGCCCTCCCAGACCACATCCTGACCTGCCTCTGCAGGCTGGGATCCCATCCTTCATGCTGCTCAGCAAATCACCCCTCATCCCACCCCACCCTCCCACTCCCTCCTCCCTCTCAGTGCCTGCAGCTGCCTCAATGCTTGGCAGGCTGGGCAGTCATTTCTACTTTGCATTCCCTTGTGGTTGGGCCTGTCCGGCGAATCTTTTGGGCTCCCCAGTCCCATGATACTGGAGCAGCAGTCCCCACCCAAGAACCCAGAGGAGGCAGAACAGATGCCCACAGAAATGCCCAGGTCTTCCTAGTGGGGAAGTCTAAGAGCACATGGCAGATCTCTCTTCTCCTTAAGTCTTTATGAGACCAGGTCTCTATAAATCCTTGCTGTTCTACACATCCTTGCCTGGTAGGTACTGCCTCCCCGAGACACAGCACAGGACCTCCCAGCTCTGTGTTCTTTGGGACGAGACCTTGACTGAGTCCTGGGCTTCCTGGGTCAGTTAGGTGAGGAGGGTGGGGTAAGGGGATATGCGGGACCTGGATGCCCTAGACCTGTCAATCTGACCTCAGACACCCTCCCGTTTGTTCTCTTGTCCTGGGCAACAGAGGGACCAAGGGTCCAGGCAAGACCGACTCCATTACTCACTGGCCAGCCATTCCCAGAGGTCACAGGGGAAAGCTGGGCATTGACTTCCTTTTGGGGAAGGTCTCCAGACAGCTAAGACTCATAGGAAAGAGGAAGGGGCTTAAGCACCTCTCTATGGAAGCTGCCACCCCTCACTGGGCCTTGTGATGTCTCAGGACCTGTCACTAGTCCTGGTGGAGACCCTTGAGTGCTACCAACCCATCCAGAAACCAGGAGAAAGGCCCTGCCCGTTGCTAGGACAGAAAACTAAGCCTAACAGGAAGGGAAACAATGTGGAAGGCCTCAGGTGCTTCCGAGGGTTCCCAGAATCCTGTGGAGATGCTGATGCAGCCGCGCCTAGGCTGCTTTCTCCCCTTCCCCAGCACTGACTATTGATATGGGGACCCTCAGCCAGGCGGTGGTGGCGCACGCCTTTAATCCCAGCACTCGGGAGGCAGAGGCAGGCGGATCTCTGTGAGTTCGAGACCAGCCTGATCTACAAAGCTATACAGAGAAATCCTGTCTCAAAAAAAAAAAAAAAAAAAAAAAAAAAGGATATGGGGGCCCTCAAAAGGCAGATGCCATCAGGCAGCCCAGGGAGGATGGCATAGCATCCTGCCTCTTAAGGGTGAGCTGGGCTGTGTCATCTGGTTCTGAGATTTTCCAGATGCAAGTGCAGCCGCAGCCTGTTGAAGAGGAGGCTGCATTTAGATCCTGGTAGCGTGGCTAGCTGTAAGGGAGAAGACTCCCGGGACGGAGGGCGAGGAAAAGGCCACCTTTCTCAGCTTTGGACTCCTCTGGAACCAGGTGGGAAGACAGGAGAAAACGAGAGGTGTAGTTGTGCACCGCCCTTGTAAATGGCAGCACTGGGGAGACTGAAGCAGAAGACGGGGTTCTGAAGATGGGCGATGCGACAAACCTTCTCTCAAACAGCAGCGGCGGCAGCAGCCACTGCAACAACCGAAGCGCAAAGAGGAATGAAGTAGTTAAACAGCAGAGGGAAGGTGCCACCCACCATTGCTGCATCTATGCTGCAGTCCCACTGCCCTTGGCCTTAAGGGAAGCAGGGCCACCAAGGAAGGCTGTGCACGTAAATCTTAGTGGCAGAGCGCTGCTTAGCACACCCTGGCACCTCTGGACTCCCAGCATCACTTCTCAGGCTCATTCCACGTCCAAGGGGTTGCCAGGGTACCAATCTTCTTGCAAATGAGGGCTAGGGATATAACAGAGGCAGAGCATTTGCCTAGGATTCAGTAAGGCCATGGGTTCAAGTCCTGGTGTCATGCACATCTCACACTACACACACACACACACACACACACACACACACACACACACACACACTAGCATGCCAGAAAGAAGCACACAACCCAGCCACTTCTGCAGATATGTTTAATGCACTTAGATTACACAGAGGAAGAGGGGCAAGTGGGAACAAAATCTAAGTGAGTCACTCAAAATTTCTTACAAAAGTCCTGAGCCAGCTGTAGCCCCAGGAACTGAGTCGCCACTGACATTAAAAACTAATATAAAAATGTACAAAAGTCTGCTCATTGCAGCATTCAGATTTTTGTACAAACGAAGGGGTCTCCCTACAGGGCTCCTGACTTGTAACAGGGACCCTGACACCTCACCTGACACCGAGATCATGGAAGCCAGAGAGGGAAGACCAAGTTAAAAAAATACAGCTCAGGGAGTAATCGGCTGGTCCACCCCATAGGGGTACAAACTTCAGGGCCTCTCCCTGCTCTCAACTCCATCTCAAAACTCAGTCCCAGGACCCAGGGTCTGAAGGAAGATGTCTTGGCCCCTTCGGGCTCCCCAAGGCCTCCACAGGCCCTGTTGCAGCATGTCTCACTTGGAAGAGGACACCGCTCCTCAGCATGGCCACCTCTGCGGCCCACACAGGCCGGGAAAGCTTTAGTCAACAGGAGGGCAGAGGCCCTTCCTTTCAGAAGCTCTGGTCCTGAGGACCTGGAAGGTCAAAGGACAAGGACAGCCTGGAGGAAGTCTGTAGAAGGGGGTAGGGGAGAAGGGACACGCAGTCTTGAACCCCTCCCCAGGATGGGCTAACAGCCCCATGGGGCTGCAGGGAGGGAAAGAAAGGGCCCCTGTACAGCTTACCCATCATGTGACATGATGAGGTAAGTCTTGCTCCATCCGATGTTAGGGTCCCTCCTTCCCAGGCAGCAGGCTAATGGTAAACCTGTTCCCTGATATCCCTCTGGAAGAAACCTGAGCCCATTCATGGGAAATGAGGCCTGGTCCTCGCAGGCTGAGAGCCACTGCGCTAAGGAATGATGGGGGCCTGGTCCCAGCAGGATTTTAGACGTTCCCGAGGTTCCTGGCTGGATGGGGGGCACGAGAGACCTCAGGCCCTGTCAACATCTCATTTGTAGCTTGCCTGTCATTTCCTGCTCCCCAAGAATGGGGCCACCAACAGGTGGTGGTTATCCTCAGTCTGCAAAGACCTTGCAGGCCCAGGCCAAGTGGTTGAGCAGTAGTCTCACAGACTAAGGACTAAACCAGCTCATAGCATGCATTCTTGCCCCCAAGCCAGGCAAATGGAGGTAGACAGAATGCAGCACGGGGCCCTTAGGCAGGTCTCCAGGGAGGATGGGGGAGGGGGAACTACTACAACACTGGTCAAGATGGTTAGGAATGGAGGCAAAGCCAGAGCACCTCTTGGCCCACACGGGAAAGGCAAGGATGAGAGGTGAGTCAAGAATGCCATGGGAAGGGTGGAGGCCTCGGACAGCACTGTCAGCAGAATTAGAGTGAGAGGAATCCAGGGGACAGGGGAATCAAAGAGCCGGAGTCCTGAGGAGCAGGATGCGGACGGAGGCGTGGCTTTACTCTCCTTGGCAGGCCTGGCTGGGTAGAAAAGGACTGGAAGACATAGTTAGGACCACCATGTCCTTGAGTTCCTAAAGTCCCCACAGCCTGGTAGAAACCTGTTTCATTTGGAAGGCAGTAACACCCCTTCTAGGCCGCAGCATATCTGGACCCAAGACTGCATGCAGAGTGTCAGGAGTTCCCTATCCCAGGTCCCTCCAGGGCTCAGAGCTGACAGGCAGCACCAGGCACCTTCTTGGGCAGAGGGTGTGGGGGAGGAAGAGCCCCCAGACCTCTGTCTAAGAGAATAATAAAGTTCATCTAGGAATAAAGTTCTGTTTAAAAACCACTATATACATGGCTTCTGGACCATCTTTGCCGAGAAATAAAAATACCATCCGGTTTCCACAACATACTAAGGAAGGAGCATCGGTGACAGGAGCAATCGTCCCACAGGCTGGAGCAGCCTGATGCACAGAGGCTTGCTGGGGTCCAGCTGGCCATTGCATCCACACGTGTGCTCAGCACACCCGGCCGTATGGCAACGATGTCTCTCCCGGAGCGGAGCTCATCAGGGAACCCTGTGGCAGCAGCAGGCGGGCGGGCGGGGAGGTTAGAGGTGCAGCCTCCCTGCTCACTGGCATGTCGGGCAGGGGCCTGGTCACGGGTTTGGCAGCTGGGTGTGAGGCCCCTGGGTGTGAGGCGGGGCCTGTGGTGGGCGCAGCACTCGGGAGTCATCCTCACACTTGTCCTTTTATTCATGGGGTCTCTTTTACACAGCTGTCACACTGAAGTCACTGGGAGCCGCTGAGCCCCTCGTGGCCCCTGCAGGGCCTAGCCCAGGCTAGTGCAGTGGACTGTCGAACACCACGTCAGGGAGGATGGAGACTTTGAGCTTCTTTTCAGGCCAGCTGTACTCTTTGGGAAGTTTAAACTGTGGAGGGAGCAAACACAGCGCCTGAGTGCCTTCCAAGACAGACCCTGAGAGAGGCAGCACACTGGCCCAGACCTGCCCCCGGATGCTGGGACAAGACAGGCTGCTGGATTCCTCTCAAATGTTAGACCCAGGGTGTGTGAGTGTGAGTGTGTGAGTCTGTCTGTGTATGAGTGTGTGAGTGAGTGTGTGATTGTGTGAGTGTGACTGTGAGTGTGTGCGAGAGTGTGACTGTGAGTGTGTGATTGTGTGAGTGTGACTGTGAGTGTGTGCGAGAGTATGACTGTGAGTGTGTGATTGTGTGAGTGTGTGACTGTGAGTGTGTGCGAGAGTGTGTGAGTGAGTGTGAGTGTGTGTGCACGGTGCACGCCTGATCCAGGTGCTCCTTTCTTTCCTCCCGGCACTGCCAGTAGCTCATCGGCGAGGAGAAGGGTGTTTTTCTAGTTCTTTGACTGTGTAGACCCTCCCTCCTGCTCTTTTCCTTGGTTCTGCCTCCAGCCACAAGCATGTGAGGAATCTGCTCCCTGAGGCCCTGGGGCTGGAAGATAGGGGACACAGCAGGGAGTAGATATTACAGGGAAGAGGTCTGTCATTGTCATGGGCTCTCCTGAGGCTAGTGTGGGAAGGATTATAGAATTTGTCCTCCATAGCTTTGTCAAAGGGTCAACAAGGAAGGAGGCCCAAATCAGTCCCCAAACATGACCCTGCTGGGTTTAACATTTAGGACGAAGGCGGTTAGTTTATGTACATTCTCGAAGGAGAAATGCTTCACTACCCACTGCCCCCTTTGCCCTGATTTCCAGGTGCTCTGCTCAGAGTGACCCCAGATGAGAGCCAAGGTCTTCCAAATCAGAGACCAATGATAGCCTTACAGCTTTATTTCTCTCATTTCTCTGGGGCCTTCTGTTTGGGAGAGGGGAGAAGCTGACTTCTTATTTCTTCCAGGGTCTAGAACCTTGCGTGTAGTTTAGCACACAGCTGGCGCACAATAACTTCTCACTGCCTTGGGGTAGCGCAGGAGCTCTTCTAACTCCCACTGTCTCAGGGCTAGGCTGCAAGCCAGGGCCAAGGAGAGGACAGAGTCATGTTCCATTCTGCCTGGAGTGGGGCTGGAGGTGGACGAACGGACACTTCCTGGCTGGCTCCCTCCGCCCTCCTTCTCTTGGGGGACTGTAGACCTAGGACAGAGTGGAGACTGGGCAGGGTTAGGGACAGCCTCTGACAGGAGAGCAGAAAGAGAAGTCATTTTTAGTGACCTACTTTCTAAAGCTCCCCTTGGCTCCTGTCTCTCTCGCCTGGACTGTCCCCTCCCGCCCACTCAGCACCCAAGCTCCAAGCAGCAGCTTGGCATAATGCCACTGCAGTGTGACAAGTCCTCTCCGGAAGCCCTTCTGGGCAGCTGGCTTTGGCCTGACTGAGTGGAGGAGCTAGGCCTCTGAGGCAGTGACTTGCAGGGGTGACTGGCTGGCACAGACTGGGTGCTTGATAACCTTGGAGTGCATAAATGAACGAATCGATCAAGCTGGATCCCTGGGGTGGGGGGCAGGGCAGACATGGCTGTGTTGGAGTGACCAGCTCTGAGGAGTTTCTATCTGCCGAGTCCAAGGCTTGTGTGGCCCTGGGAGAGTTGGCCCCTGGATACCCCTGTCTGGCCCCTGGGAGGCAAGGCAGCTCTCTTTGCCTCAAGCATGTTAGGGCAAAGGGAGGGAAGGGTCAGGCTCCACCACAGGCAGCTTGGGGAGGGCCAAAAGGTTCTCTGGAGGCCTGGGAAGCTTGCTAATGTTCTACTACCCCATGGAGCACCCCAAGGAAGGCTTGCCTGTCTGCTGCCTGGGTGCTGTTAGTAGGAGGCAGGAGGAGAAGGGACTTTCCAGGATGAGGTAAGTCCCTGCAAATGAGGAGGCCAGGAACAAGGAAGGAAAACAAAAGGGATTATGGACTCCATTCCTGTACCCTGGAGAAGGAGCCAAGGGGGGGTATAACCCCACCTGACCTGCCAGTTCCTCAGGCTCTGAGCTAGCCAAGAAGAGGCCCAGAGAGGCAAGCTATAGCTGGAGAAGGGAGGGGTGTGGCTCTTGGGTGGCCCGAGGCAAGAGCAGGAGCCCCTTCTGCCCAGTAGAGCTCCCCAGTGACTAGAGCTCCCCAGTGGGATGTTCTCTGGCAGCAGACATGGGCTTTCTGTTCAGAACCTGCCAGGGAACAGCAGGGGCTGGGGAGAACTCTAGCCTGAAGGCCCTGGCTGCTTCTTCAATGAGGTTCTCAAATGCTGGCAATTCAGACAGTTTGCTGGGTGTCCTCACAAGGGTGGGGGCGGGGCAGGGCTGGTTCGTGGAAACAGAAGAAAAATAAAAGTCATTTGCCATTCTCAGTGGTTCCTTTCTACATTATTCCTGCACTTCGGAAGATGGCCCATAGAAGTGTGAGCGTGTGAGCGCGTGTGCGCGTGCGCGGACACACACACACACAGGTTCATAAGCCCAGGACCCCTCTCTGAGCGAGAAACCAAACAAGCTTACTTCCTCTGGAGAAGTCAGCTCTTCCAAGTCCTCCAACATTTTCTCTACAAACTCTTCCGTCAACAGAATCTGGGAAAGAAAGCAAAAGGCAGGTTTTTATTTGAAAAAAAAAATGCCAACTACCGAGCTGGGGATGTTTCTTTTTGCTATGGAGGAGGGATGACCCACTGACTAGTTCCAGGGATGGAGGGAAGTACTTGACGCTTCCACTCTCAATGCCTCCCTCCCCCTCCACAAGCTGGCAATGGTGGCTGGAAAAGGGCTGACAGGTGGGGTGGGGCAGTGGGAAAAGGGGTGACATCTGGAAGGTGGGCAGTGCTGGCCTCAAAAGGGAGCTGGAAGGCAGCGGAAACTTCTTTGGGCTGTTTGGCCTCCTGGATGTTGCAGGGCAACACAGAAGGACAGGAAAGCCGAAGGCCATGGGAGCGTCATTGCCAAGGTCCTTTCCCCATCAGGCTCACATGTTCCCACCCACTTCTCCCAACCATGTAGGACAAAAGGAATCTGTTTGACACTGGAATACAAGCCTTGCCTGGGGTTTAATTTGCTCCAGTGGCAAAATCCTGGGTTCCATCCCTACCACTTCAGGGATGGGGATAGCAGCTAAAACCAAGAAAAAAAATCTGAGCTGCAGAATGAGAGCATGCCTGTCTCTTCAGAGGGGGACTTAAACTTCTCTCTCCAGCCACAGGGTCATGGCTCAGGGATGTCCCTGCAGGTCCCAGTCAGCAGCTCTGCTCTGCTGGACTTCTGAGATCAGTCTTCTCTGGTGTCTTCCATCTCCCCACGCTACAGTTTTATCCTGATGCTGTCAGCACAGGCTTTGATGTCCAAGTCATCTATGTGGCTGGAATAACCACTATCCTTATGCCCTAAGCAAGTGTTCTTAGCCAAGAGGAGCAGCCACAGCGACTCAGAGCTCTAACTGTCAAGCCTTTCTCAACTGATGGCTCCCAGGCAGCCCTGCTAGCCCAGGCTGAGCTCATCCAGGTTATCCTTGCAGATTCTGGCCCTTTCTACTCCATCTTCCCTATCCTTGTCCACAGGGTCTCCCGGCTTCTCTGGCAGACCCTGTGTACTACGGAGAGGAAGAAGAGTCAGGGTGCGAGTCCAACCGAAGGACTCCCTCCCTTCAAAAGGCTGGGACCCAAGCGTGAGAAAATACATAAAGTTTCCCTGGGAGCTGATCACCCTGTAAGGGTAGGAGCTTCCGTACTGTGACAGGAAGTGAAGTGGAAAGGAAGGAAACGGCCAGGGGGGTCAAGGGGGCTTGCAAGATGGATGGGAGACAAGGAAGTTGATGGCATGGTGGTGACAAGCGAGAAGGAAAAGCTCTAACATACCAGACACTATGCTGACTGTTCACACCTTATCTCTTTCAGTCTCCTTCCAGATAGGGAAACTGAGGCACCTGCCCTGTAGGGCCAAAGCAAGACCATATGTCATGTCTTGGCCTGAAACCTGATGTCTTACACTCGTAGGTGGAGGACACTGACACTTAATATTCATTCTTGGACAGCCCAGCCTACTTCCCACCCAACCAGCAGTTCCCCAGAGGAGGAGGACCTGCCTTCCCAAAACAGGGGCACACAGGGATGAAGGAGAGAGACAGAGACAGACAGAGAGAGAGAGAGAGAGAGAGAGAGAGAGAGAGAGAGAGAGAGAGAGAGAGAGAGAGAGAGAGAGAGAGCAGACAGTATCCAGGGGAGTGACTACCCAAGGTACTCATTCCTTTTCCTCCTCCAGGCTCCCCAGAGGGGGTTGGCTGGCTCTCTCCAGTCTGTCTGGCACTTTCTGGTCCTTGGCCACATCCAGTCACACCTGGCCTTCCTTCCTGGAGCCTGAGCGCTCCTGCTCTTACCCTATGGGTTCCCTCCCCCAAGCTGAGTTTCTTCACTGGTTATCACCAGTCTGCTTGAGTAATATAAAGTCACATTCATATTTTTGGCATTTCCGGGGCTTGTTGCCATATCTGTAAACGCTAGCACACACACAAGCACACCTCAGACCCAGTTAGATGACAATGACTCCAGTCCTGGCCAGGCTGGGTTCATTTCTAACCTACAAATAATCCAGAGAGAGGAGTTTTCTCCAGATGGGTGGTAAATAGGTCTGGAACTGTAGCACGGGGGTAAAATGGGGTAGAGGAGGGCTTCCAAGGATGGTGGCCACCCAAAGGGACTCCCAAGGGTGTTTTTCAACAACAGGAAAGGTGAGGCCACCAACAGTCCAGTTCTAAGCCAGGGACTCTGTCAAAGGTCTGGAAGTGGTGAATTATAGAGGCTTTTAGCAGGGCTGCTACCAAGTGTCGTACCATCTGTGTGTGGGGGAAGGGAGAAGAAGACCCCCTCATGGGGACAAATCCTAGCTGTTCCTTCATTTTCACTTTTGATGATTCGCTGGCTTCTGCTGGAAACCACATTGTTTTAAAAGAATTAAGGGGGAAAAATTATACATGAGATCCACATGATATTAGGGGTGACATTCTCAGCAAAGAAACACGACAGACTGTCATAGCTCCAGGCACCTGATTTAATTTCCTCTGGGAGTTAAACCTTGGAAGCTTGGACTGAACAAACAGGCCCTGTTCTCTGTAGATCTGAGCTGGGGCTGAGAATGTTAACAGATCTTATCGACAGGATACTGCAGATAGGCAGCTATGACGGAGCAGCTCCTGGGAGCTCTCACTGGGAACAGACTTGCTGTTGTGATGCCACTGTGGGAAAAGCCTATGCAGGTCTAGGGCTTGGACTTCCTGAAGCTCACTGTCCCCTTGGAGTGGCCAGCCTCTGCCACAGTAATAATAGAAAATGGCCAATCACCAGAACGGTAGCTGCCTTATATGCAGTCTCTGTGCTATGCTGCTCTGTATGTCTTCACTGAATCCTGTGATGGGCTTGCTAGAGACTCTAGCTTTCCACGTGTAGGTCCTGAGGAGAAGGCAGTCTCCTAGGTTTCAGAGCAGTGGCTGCCTGGGTGATGGAACATGCGCTCTTCCTGTGTGGGGAAGCTCTAGAGGTGTGTGTGTATATGCAGGGCTGACTTCTGATGGGGATATGGCAGCTTTTACCACTGGCCTGGAAGACCAGCACCCTCAACCCCAGCCAGGAATATGTATGTTCTCATTGCCACAGGGCTGGAACCCAAGTATCACAAACACACAGCTGCTAGCCACAAATAAAAAAAAAAAGCATGCTAGCTAACTGGAAAGGGAAGCATGCTATACATCACTGAGCCATCTTGCTGGCTGGAGTCCATACTTCTCCCTTTCTTCTCTCCTCTCTCTCTCTCTTTCCCTCTCCCTCTCCCTCTCTCTCTCTGCTATGTTTTAGTCAGGGTCTCCCTATCTAGTGCTGGCTGTCCTGGAACTCCCTATGTAAGGCAGGCTAGTCTCAAACTCATAGAGACACTCCTGCCTCTTTCTTCTGAGCACTGGAATTAGGCATAGGACACTGTACTCCATGGAGTCCACACATTTGAACAGTTCCTCTAGCCCAGAAAAGATGACAAATCATCACAGAGACTACTGTACTCTATTATACTTGCATGCACGAGGAATCGGGACAAAACACTGAGGATTATGCACAAATAATCTTTGGAGGGAGGAGACCCTTTAATGACAGGGGAAGGGCTCCTGGACCACTCTGAGTAGCACAGTCCCCTGGAGGGTGCTGGAGGATGTGGCGATGCTGCTCCCTGGAACGGTATACCCATGGCACAGGAGATACCCAAGTTTTCACAGGGCACCTGGAGAAGTCACAGTGGGAGCAGTGCTAGGAAAGAGGTCCAGAGCAGGGGGACCGAGCACTGGGTAAGCCAACGGTGGCTGCGGCGCTACCACTATGGGACTGACTGTGAGGGCATCATCGGCTGGAAAGAGGATTTGGAACCCAGGCTCTGCTTGTAGTTCACTCCAGTGGGCTCACATCCTAGGCCCTGTGTGGTACAGTTGGACAACCTGGCTTGTTGGTGGCAAGAAAGGATTGTCAACAACCTCTCCATTCTCCAGGCTGCAGCAAGTTCCAGAAAGGAACCTGAAAAGTGATCTTTTGTCAGTGCCTGGCCTGGGCAGGCCCGGCTGCGCTGCAGGCAGGGGCTAGACTGTTACAAATCTGACACTCATTCCAAAGTCTGTGGTCAACGATTTCTGAGTGGCTGACAATGCCTTTCCTTCCCCTCGGAACAACGACAATTCACACTTTGTCTTGGGCCTTCTTTGCTCCTTGTGTTGACATGTTGTTCTGCTTCCCAGCAGGTCTGGCTTTTTCCCCCTCCCTTTCCTTTTCTCCAGGAAGGAAATGTGCTCTTTACAGAGGCAGGGCCTGCCAAGCAGCGGCTCTGCCCCACGATGGCAGTGAGGTAGGGACTGGCAAGGGCTCCTGTCCACCGTACCCCTTCCCCCCAACTCAGGCAGACAAAGGGCAGAAAACAGTCTGTGGACACTCCCATGTGCCTGAGAGAAGTGGGGGCACTCTCCCATTTCCTGCTCTGGCTGGGTGGTGAGAAGTTGGCTCTGGTGGCCAGAAGCAAGCTAGACTCCTGCTGTTGACACAGCAGGGAATTAGAGTTTGCTTTAAACCTTAACAGGAGCAGGACGGGACAACGAGGGCTTGAGACAGTCCAAGCCAAAGTCTCCAAAGGAGGCAGGTCTAGCCAGGCCCACCAGTGGGAGAAATGCTGGGTAGGCATCAGAAAGGGGATGCGGGCATGCCAGGGGCTGGGCTGGGGACTCCCAGATTGCCTTCTACATAGCAAAAGGGCCTTGGCTGAAGGAATATGGGGAACCTGTTCCTGGGCTGGGTAGAGTTTAGCAGTGGTTTCGCTGCCTGGCTGGGAACATCAGACCCCACTGGGAACAGCTGCGAGCTGTCTTCTCCCAAACCAGAGACCTCCCATTGGGCTGCTGGGGAGTGGCTGGGACTAAGGGCGCCACCTGGGTGAGCTGTCAGACACCACACAGCTGAGAAAGCATTTCAGGGCCTAAAAAAAATAATCTCGTGTTTGGTGATATGCCCTCTCTGCGACCTCTGGGACTGAAGCTTCCCTCCTTCAGATTGCCCTGGCTAGGAACTGATGACGGAACTGACTCAGCTCTGGGCGGGGCTCTGCTCAGAAGATTGACAGCTCAGGGTCAATAGGCCAAGGGAGAAGCAAGCCACTGCCCCCAGTGATGGGGTGCTAGGGGCAGGAGAGGCCATTGGCAGACCTGCTCCAGAGTCTGGAAACTGTCTCACGAAGCTCTAGACTTGGCTTACAGGCTCTATGACCTTAAGGGTGACACAAGGCAGGATGGATGAAGCCAGGTCTCTTCTCTAGAAATTAGAGTATGGGCCCGAGCCAACTCCTGCCTCTAGCAACTCCTAATGTATGAGTTTCCAACTACCCCTGCCCTCTTCTTCAGGCCCTGGGTCCCGACTTCCCCAAGCCTGGGTCTCCCTGTTGGGAGTTGGTAGAAAGTGGGGGGCCAGGTGGGTATGACAGCCTGTCTGAGGCCATCCCACCAGCTCTGAACAGGGACTCTGGCTCTCTAACCTGCCCCTTTCCTTCCAGTCCTCTCTTCCCGGCACAGCGAGAATGGATGCCGAGCCTTTCCCTAAGAGATAACAGGCCTGGGCTGGCAGCCAGAGCAAGGTGCCAAGGTTGGGAGTGAGCCCTTTGGAGGCTGCTGAAGGCTGATGCAAGACAGTCTCGTTGCCCCTCCCACTCCAGCTGTGACTTACAGCAGCCAGGGGACACAAGTCTAGGTCTCTCCATCCAATGCCTACTGCTTTCAGCTGCCCCCTGCTCCTCTGCCTGCAACAGCCTGGGCACACAAGGCTCAAGGAGAGGCCCTAGACCCCAAGTGAGTGACAGAACCCTGTAAAGGGAGGAACGGGTCTGGGTGTTGAGCTCTCCCTCCAAACAGGCCTGGATCTCTTCTTGGCTTGATCTGTGACTTCTGAGTAGAACCTCGGGTCCTACCTGGGAGACAGTTGGCTCTTGAGAGGCAATCTAGGGGCCCACAAGCCATTACAAGCTTAGTTCCCACAAGCTGGGGACTGCCTGTGGTCATAGAGGCAAGACCCTAAAAGGAAAGTCAGGCCAACTGTCAGAAGCAGAAAATGCTGACTGCTCTCAGGAGGGGAGGAGAGCCGATGTGGGTGTTGGCTTCACTGTTGAGAACCCGGCTGGCTGGGGCAGGTCAGATGGAGAGTTTCCCAGGGCTCCTTGCAAAGAGCCTGAGAAACCTCTTGGTGATCAAGGGTGTGTGCCTGGAGGGCGGGACCTGAGCCAGCCTTCCCAGGGCTCTCCTGAGGGGCGGCCTGTGGTGGACCACACTAATGAGCCCATAACAGGCCTTTGATTAAGCAGCTCCCAGCACAGCTACTTGATTGAAACATGCCGAGGCCAGCAACTCATTCCCACTGCTCCCTGGTTCCCCAGGCAACAGCCCACAGGAGGGGACCCAAGTGCTGGGAGGGAGGCAGCGGGTGCCGAGTGCCCCAACTCACAGAGGGACTGCCAGCATGTGTGTGTGGGGGCGTGGGGTGCCAAGAGTGGGAATGCCAGCAGCCAGGGGATTAAGAACTTGGGAACTGGGGTACAGGAAGCTTCCTTCCAGAAGACTGAGGGGCTGCCAGACATCCCAGTTTCCTGGAAGATGTTCTAAGAAAGATGACAGGATACAAGAGGAGACACTTTCCTGTAGTCAAGGGAGACCCTGGTTCCTAATACCCTCCAAATGCTTCAACTGCAGACGCACACACTCATGAACTACCAGGACATTTCTGCCAAGACCTGCTGGTGTTACATCATTCACTGGAATGATGATTTGTGGACTCTCTGTTGCTGGGGTCACCTGCAGGGAGATGGGGGTGTCCCCACCTCCCACCTCCATACTAGTTCTGTCTGGGGAAGAGACCTGCATCTCTGGTTGTCAGTAGAGACAGGGGGCAGCCTGGGACATGGCTAGGGTTGGGAGTGGGGACATGAGACGCTGTTTCTAGTTGTCCTGGGCTCATTTCAAATGTTACACTTCTGAGCTTTTGCTACAGTAACTATCAACACCCCACAGACAGAAATCTAATATTACCAAGTGGGACTTTTAAAATGTATTTATAACTATGGTTCAAAGTAATTTTGTTATGAAACAATGTAATAACAACAGTGGAAACAGGCAAGATAATTTATGGAACACAATAACCCTAAAGCACTAGCTTCCATTTCTACCTCTGGGCTTAGTGGGAGAAGAGTGGTTGGGTATCCTTTGTTTGCTGTTTGTTTTAATTAAGGGTTAGGACTTTGGTGGGGGGCAGGGAGGAGGTTGCTCTGAGGGAGGAGGACGTCAGCTGCAAGCAGACACACGCAGACAAAAACATACCCGTATTGAGAGTAGTGCAGACCCCAGAACGGATAACCCACAAAGCTAGTGTAATTCTCTTCCTTTTTTTTCCTGTAATTCCCCCATGCTTTTCTCTAACCCACCATAAACAAAGCTTGGTTACCTTTCTGATGGAGGTCAGAGTCTCTTTCTTTCTTTTTTCTTTTTTTAGACCGTGTCTTACTTTGTAGCCCTAGCTGGCCTGGAACTCTATGTAGGGCAGGATGGCCTCAAATTCATAGAGATCCCCCTGCCTCTGCCTCCCAAGTGCTCTGGGATTAAAGGTGTGCTTCAACACATCTGGCCCTGAGTCCTTTTCTTGGTATTCTTGTGAAAGGTAGGTAAATTGCTTTCCCCCTTCTCCAAAATACAGCCAAAAGCCAAAAAAGGAGTATGGCAGACCAGGCTGGTGAGCCTTAGAGACCTGGGCAGGGCAGGCACTAGAAAGAGACTGGTGGCTCTTAACCCCAAGCACTGGGCTTCCTATCAGCCCTGGTCCTTGCTCCAAGCAGGAGAGCACGATAACATAATACTCTGGACAAGACAGCAGGTTCTGCTCAGTGGTTTCCAGCAGGGGCAAAAGGGAGCAGCTGACTGCTGGTGGGGGAGCTCTGGCCACTGTGGCCTGCCCCGCCTGGTCACAGATTCACTTCCTATGAATTCTGGTGGTTTCCATACAGGCACTGGAGGGTGGTATCCACACGTCATTCGCCCTCCATGTCTTTTATCTTGATTTCCCAGGGCAAGGGAAGTATTCTACTCCTCACACTTGGATTTCCTCTACCAATGGCAGGAGAGAAACTCACATCAGGGGATGGGGGGGGCCTCTGGAGCTGTGAAGACAGCAGTACCCATTCTCCTTAACCACACAGAGAGCTCAGGCTCTGTATCCAACAGGCAGCTCCCAGCACAGGATGGGCGCCATAGAGAGCTGTCCTGAGAGGGAGGGCAGGCAGTAAGGGAAGAGCTGACAGAAGAACAGGAAGGGAAGAAGGGTGCTTCTCACTTGTAGCCATGGTCCGTGAGCTGCATAGGGGTGCTCTTCTGTGGCAAAGGCGCCTTCCACTCCCGTAGACACAAACGTGATGGCCATGTCACCTGTGATACTCTTGTAGGTGAAGTGCCGTCCATGCAGGAGTCTGCCCCTGGGGATGGGAACATGGAGACAGTGGGGGATCTGGGCCTAGAAACACAGTCCCTAGCCAACATTCTGGGGCTATAGGGCAATGTTTCCTGAGGCAGACTGCCTGGCCGTGCCCTCCTGAAGACCCAGCTGCCCACTAACAGGGGACTTTAACCCAGCATGCTCACTGGAACACATCAGTGAAAGGCATCGCCAGCTCTCTGAAGACATCCTTCCAAGTGTTCCCAGCCAGTGGACACTCTAGAGCAGGGCCCAGGGCCTCAGGGCAGGTGACAACACTGAGGCCCAAGAGGGAAGTAGGCAGTGCACCAGGGTCATGCCCAGAGTGAAGAAGGCCTAATGCCATCCAGCAGGATATTCTGAGCCCGTGCAGGGCCTTCCACCCGCTCCTGGGCTTTCCTGTAACACTTAAGCAGTTATACTGGAGGCAATGAGCAAATCTTTAAAAACACAAAACCAAACCACAAGTCTGAAGCCAAGCAGGATCACTGCAAGAAGTCACCATCAGTCCCCAGGCTGGAGAAAGCACTGAACGTGGCAGCCAACAGGCAGGGATGCCAAACGGTTAAGGAGGCAAAACCGCTCCTTGCGCTCACTCTCAGGCTGCTTCAGAGTAACCCGTCCCCAGGCTAAAAGCCCAAGCCTGTGCCCAAGCAGCTGTAGGACACAGCTGGAGCCTGGTCCTGGCCCTGGGAGGCACCTTCACTCAGACCTTCACTCAACACCTCTGCCCCGCGGCTCAGGGCAGCTGGCTAAGGCTGGCTCAACTCAACTCCTCCCCCACTTCTCCTGGCTCTTGGATGGGGAGGGTTCAAACCATACAATTCCTTTTTCCTTGTCATTGTCCCCTTGAGTTTAGGGGGGTTCTTGTAGTCTCCTGTGCTAGCAAAATGAGAATGGAACTTAAAAGGGTTTGGAGGAAGCCAGCTGCAAGAGATCCAGCTTAGTGCAGTGTTCGGAACAAAGCTTCGTTCTGCCCACTGGGCGGGTGCTCTGCCTCTCACAGAAGAGGAGACACAGCTGGGTTTCCGGCCCCTCAAGGAGGCTGCTGGGCTGCTCACTGGGTTTTGTAAAGAACTGAGTGTATTGCATGGGAAAAGTTTCAAGCAAGAGAAGGTAGAGCCCAAACATTCAGAACCCTCCTGTTCTTGACAGCTCAGTGTGACCTGTGACCTGGCTTATGGGATGGCAGGGCCATCCTGGAATCGCTTGGTCACTGGACCTCCCAAAGGGGGAGCATGGCGGAAGGACACTTCCTGGACAGCATCTAGTCCCCGTGGAGTCTGACTTTGACACTTCTCAGAGAACCAGAGGATAAGAAAGCCAGATGTAGGGCACACACCTTTGACCCCAGCAGGGGATCTCTGTGAGTTCAACGCCAGCCAGGACTACAAAGTGAGACCCTATCTCAAACAAAATGAAATACCAACTCAGATGACAGACCAGTAGGGGGCATGGTATGTGATGAGGGGGGGCTGCCACTGCCCACAGATACTGCCAGGCTAAAATGGCTAGCCCAAAGCCTTAGATGACCTGTGCTGGGGGAAGGCAGACCGTGGAGGCTCTGAGCCTACAGGGTACTGTGGAATGGACTGTTTCAGCTCACCTGAGACAGAGAGGAATGAGGGCGCCCGACTCCTGGTTAAATTTCAGATGTACGCTCTCGAGTTGCCGAGTGCGGATCAGTTCGTGGGGGATAATGGCTGTGGAGCTGTCACTTTCCAGGCTGTCTTTGCGGCTCCTGCAAAACAAGCAAGGAACAGATTAAGTGCACGGGGAAAACCACAGGGAGGAGCAAATGGGGCTTTCTGGCTGAGTTCTTGGTTAGAAACCATGGTGCCTGTTAACAGTGGTAACAGCACCCTCAGTGTGCACTAGCCAGGCCAGCAGGTGTCAAATACTTCTCTGGCTGCTGACGCCTCCCGAGGCCCATGCGATGGTGCTATGGGCACACTGGGAATGACAAATGAAGTGCGGGAGTGCACGTGCACAGCCAAGGAAGAAGTGGGACTGGCATTCGGTCTGAAGCCAGCCGGGTCCTAGAGCCCACACCCTTGGCCAACACGGAGTTCACATCACAGTGGCTTGTTTTGCCCTGTGAAATTAATAGGCGCTCTACAGAACCTCTCTTTTCCTGCCTTGAAGTCCTGGAGACTCAGCTCTCCAAGACTGGCATGGGACAAAGGTCAAGGAGCTTCTGCTAGCTGACCTGGGGTTCTGAGCAAGCACACTCCTGCATAGGGCCAGGCAAGGCCGGGATGTGAGTGATCCAAGCAGAGGCCAGCACAATCCTTGCTTAGGAGGCAGACGTGTGGCTTCTCGGCCTTTCAGCTAAGATGGAGTGTAGGAGTCAGATGCATGTGGCTGGGTGACACTTTACCTGAGCTTCACTGTGTGATGCATACATGGATATGTGTGTGCATGTGTGTGGTGTGGCACATGCATGGATGTGTGTTGTGTGCGTGTGCATGTATATTTGTGTGCATGTGAGTAAGCCCTGATCTAGATTCCCCCTGATAGTGACCTTGGCCACACTAAGCTGTCACACTCACTCATGCTCTCTCCACCTCAGCTCCCAACCTACAGCTTGTCCCACAGCTGGGTGCTATTGGGTTCCTTGTCATTCTAAGTTTTGTTTTTCAAAATTCAGCTGTCCTCACTGACCTCCCAAATCTTCCCCAGCAGAAAAAGAGGGTCATCCGCTGATCCCATTCAAAAGACAGGGTTCTGGTTTGGGCTGTGAAAACCAGAACAATTCTTCAAGTGTCCATCGAAATACTAGGTGAGGGTCATTCTTTTTTGTTTGTTTGTTTGTCTTGAAATCAAGCAGCAGGCAGGAGCTACTCAGGATGTCTGAGCTGGACAGTCACCCAGGAGCAGGCCTCATCTAACAGAGTGAGCACCTGACAGGCAGAGCCCCTCCCCAGGGAGAACAGGGCAGCACTGGCAGCAGCTCCTCTCCCCAAGGGTGTGACTGCTCTGTCACCAAGGCATCTGCTCCTGCAGCTTCCCAAAGCTGCCTTGGGAACTGCCTTTCCCTTGGCAGGAACTCCACAAGACCTGTGACGGAGACAAACGCCGGCCAAGAGGGCAACAGCATTTCAAGACGGAAAGGAACTCAACCTGCTTAATTTACCTCTTTCCTTTTCAGAAAGGGGACATAACCAAGGCCAAACAAAGAGCATGTCTGTGGCAGACCAGCTTGTGAACCGTGGACTTCTGACCACTTTCTGTGCCGGCCTTCCAAGGAGGGCAACCCCACATCTCATCCAGGCATACTGACGGGCTCAAAGGTCATATGGGGTTGCTACCGGACCCCAAACAGGAGCAGAACACAGGAAATGACATCACCCATGTTTGTCAAGGGCCTCCTCTGCGCCAGGCTCTGTTGCATGCACAGGTTCACTCAGTGGGCCCTCACAGCAAGCATGAAACTCTTAGCCCTCTTACAAATAAAGAGAGCAGAGATAACCTCAAAGTCACAGCAGGGGCCTTATTTTGGGGGTTGCTGAGGTTGAAACTCAGAGGTTCACACCTGCTAGGCAAATGCTTTGCCACTGGGCCCCATCCCGAGCCCCACTGCGTTTAAGGGGCACAGCCAGGATGTGACTCCCCTGTGCATCTGACAACCCTTCTCCTATCCTTAGGCTGTCACGCTGCCCAGGGGCTCAGGACTGCCGGGGGTGGAACCTTCTGGAGGACCCCAGCCTCAGTGGGCCAGGCAAAAATGCTGAATAGCCATGGGGGGCGGGGGCTGTAGAGAAGAATCACACAGTACACAGGGCTAGAGAGTCCCAAGCTGGAGGGAAAAATAGATTGTTGAAAGTCAGCTAAAGTCACCTTGGTAACTGCCACAACACACTCACCCAGAACGGGGACATCAAACCCAACAGCAAACAGCTTTAAAGAAGCAGCAAAGAACTTAATCATCTGAAGAATTAATGTGACAAGTGCCCACATTTACACCTCCCACCAACCTTCAATCATTTGAGAAAACATACTTTAATCTTTTAAGAAAAAAAAACCTCTCAAAATGCTAGATCTGCATTCCTGCAGCCTGGGTATTTCCGGCATGCTAGCTGCTTCAATGGGAAGGCGGCTGCTTCACACACGCAGGAGCCCAGCTTTCTGCTGATTTGTTTTTTCTGGACATCGATGCAGAAGCATGAATTATTTGTGTGGGCTGGGTGAGGTATTAAATCTGCAGTCGACACAGGTTTGCAATGTTTTGCATGGTTGTCAGCTTAATCTTAGTCATAAAAAAATAAGTAGTGTGCTCGGCAGCATGGCCTAATTTTTCAGCTGGGCTTTCTCCCTGAGTTCTCCATAGAGGAGAAGGCAGAGTTTTGGGGGGGTGGGAAAGAGAGGGACTTCTAGGGAGGCATAGGGGATACAGGACTAGGAGCATGCTCTAGGAGGCAGAGTGTCAAATATCATGGCTTCTCATCCTAGGAGACCTTGGCAAATGACCACCTTTCTCTTTCCTTTTTTGAGAAAAGGTCTTGCCATGTAGCCCAGGCTGGTCTCTGGTCTTCTTTTAATGTGAATACGTTTATTTAGTGTGTGTGTGTGCACACAGATATGCCAATGCACACAGAAGCCATTCTCTTCTACCACAGAGTCCAGGGATTAAACTCAGACCCCTCAGGCTTTGTGCATCTGGTTTCATCTGCTGGGGTATCACAGCCCCCCCCCTCGAACTTCCAGGCTGGTCCTGAACTCATATTGCTCTCCTCTTGACTCAGCCTCTGGTTCCAGGTGCGTAGCACGTGCTTTCCCTAAGCTTCAATACTTCCTAGATGAAAAGAACAGTAGGGTCACTATTGCATTTAAATGAGTCTGAGGAGGCATCTAACAGTGCATGGTACTGCAGGTGTTTCTCAGCTCTGCTTGCAAGAATGTTGATGGCTAATAGAAACTTGTTTGCCATTATCCTGGGCCCAGAGTCCAATTGCCTCTGGCCAGATCAGCTCCTCTGCTGAGGGGATGTCTGAGACTGGCTTGAAAGGGAGACCAGGAGTGAATGCTTCAAGTCCTGGTCAGCCATTGGGCTCTGGGAAGGCTGGATTGAAGAAAATCCCTCAAGGCTTTTGGCTCCACTGAGGGAGATGGTGGCCAGGCCATCTTGTAATCTGCCTTTGCAATTCTCAAACCACCAGCCTTTAAGCAGCCCAGTTATTTAATGCATCCTTCTCTGGCAGCATTTCGCACCCCAGAGGCCGCTCTTGAATCCTATCAACAGCTTCTCTTTCTTGGCTACGTGGCCCTAACTTTCAACTACATTCTTGACAAGGTTCTGAAACCCTTTATCCGTTCAAGCCACCCTCCCCTGGATTCAGTTGAGCTCGTCAAAACTAGAGTGTCATGTCCGGAAATGAAGTGGCATGTGTGGAAATAAATACAGTATGTGGTCTAACCAGTGCAGATCTCAGAGGCTCTGTGATCTTGTGTGGGGCAGTTTATTTCTATTAAATCTGTCATCAAATTGTCTTTCTTTGTAACCTCATCATGCTACCAACTCATACAGCACTCCCTCTGTCAACAAAATCTTTCTCAGGCTCTCTCTCATAGGCTACCCTCTCCTCTCCTGTCCAGTGTGTGCTGGGGATTATTTGAAGCTAAGAGCAGAACTCTACATTGTCTGGCTAGAGTTTCTAACTTGACTCCGGCATCCATCATCTCGGCATTCCTTCCTGGCTTCCCATCACTGACATAACCGATCGCCTTGCTATCGACATTCTCAATCCAGTCATTGATTAAATTGAGAACAGACCCCGGCTGAGCGGATGGATTGGCAACACTGCTTTTTTGGGTATATTCATTTAACTGATTAAAAATAAATCCACCTTTCCCATCACCTCCTGTATGCTCTCTAAATGTTTCTGTCTTGCCGTAATGATGTCAGAGCATATCCAAGATGTCTGGCTAATTGTTGCCTAGGCAAGCCCAGGGCACATTTCTCGCCTTACCAGAGGTGAGCACTATGCCTGATTTCGTCTCTTGGGTTTGTTTCCCTGACAGCATTCAAAGCTCCTTGCGGAATAATCCAGTCCTGACTTTTCCTGAGAGTGATAGCAAGCTGACTGACTGGTCCAGAAAGTGCACGACGTTCTTGGCACCCTGAACTGTCATATGCGTTCAGTCTGCTGGCATCCATCTCCTCCACTCCTCAGATGACCATGACTCTCACCCGCCAGTTCTTCCCGTGTTCTGGGAGCACAAGGCATGTGGCCTAAGAGATGTGGAAGAAGGCTTCTGTCCTGTGTGGCTCTTCCTCACTTGCTCCGAGATGGAAACACAACACAACTCCAGCACATTCTGCTCCTTTGTCATTGCTCAGGGTTACTCTGTCTAAACAAGGCCTGGGTTTTCTTCTTACTCCAAAACAATAAAGTCCTTTATGCCAGTCGTAATTTGTCTTTCAAGATCCAGCTCTTGTATGTCAGCTTTGCTTTTTTGTTTTTTGGAGACAGGGTTTCTCTTATAGCCCTGGCTGTCCTGGAACTCTCACTGTAGACCAGGCTGGCCTTGAACTCAGAGATCCACTTGTCTCTGCCCCCAGAGTGCTGGAGTTAAAGGCATGCACCACCATGCCCAGAGTTCTTTTTGGCTCTGCTATTTACACCTGTGTTGGTATAACACACTTTACCTCCTAGCTATTATTCAAATTATGTAAATTATGTGCTTAATTCTCTACACACCTACCCTGATATCTATAGAGGTATTATCCTTATCAGGGAA